AATGGGTAGCTTTATCATTTCATAAGAAAAAAATTAGAGAAAATATATTAATTCAGGAAAACTTGGCTTATTAGGCAAATCGGGCCTTGCATAGTAGGCTGAGAAGTGCGTTCTGGCTACTAGGTACGACATATATATATATATATATATATATATATATATATATATATATATATATATATATATATATATATATATATAGAGAGAGAGAGAGAGAGAGAGAGAGATTTTAGCTGCTAAAGAAATGAATTTCGTTTAATAGTTAGGTTAGGTTAGGTTAGGTACATGATAACGGTACAAAAAGGTACATGATATTCATGTATAAATATCCAGCTAGATAGGTTGACAAATGGTTAGCCTAATAGTCAGATAGATAGATAGATAGCCAAAAGGGGGGGAAGGGAGAGAGGGAGAGAGGGAGAAAGAGAGAGAGAGAGAGAGAGAGAGAGAGAGAGAGAGAGAGAGAGAGAGAGAGAGAGAGAGAGAGAGAGAGAGAGACAGAGAGAGAGAGAGACAGACAGACAGACAATGTTAAAGACATTAATAAAACAGTCAAAATACAAAACACACAAGCGAAGACACAAGGGAAATATTTACATATCTTGAGGCGAAGTTGGAAAGAAGAATTGCCTTCCTCCACAATGTTCATAACAAAATAAAAAATTTCTGAGAATTAAAATTTACATTTTTGCTGTTCATGAGAGAGAGAGAGAGAGAGAGAGAGAGAGAGAGAGAGAGAGAGAGAGAGAGAGAGAGAGAGAGAGAGAGAGAGAGAGAGAGACAGACAGACAGACAGACAGACAGACAGAGACAGAGAGAATGGAAAAAGAACGTAAAGATGAAGGAACTTGAGACAGCTAAAATACACTTAAGAACGAAAGTTAAAAACATTCAGAAATGCAGGAAAATGACAGAAACTAAAAGCCGGATTGTCCTGTCAAATACAGATCTCAAGTTAATATATTAAGCTGATGGCATCCCCGAAGTAAAAACTATCTTACAATATAACAAGATTTATAAATAATAACATACATATGTACATTACTGATCAGCTCCACATTCCTCTCCTCAGTAACGTGCACGAATGAATTGGTAGTAACATAAGATGTTCGTAATGAGATTGATGTTAAAATATATAATAGAAAAAGTAATATTCCCAAGTCAGATGGTCAGTACGGCTTTACCCTGACAAGGAATCGAATCCTCCCACGAGCGTTTCAGCCGACTGAATTTATAGTGGAAACGCCAAGCTTTGTGTCGAGAAAATGTGAGTCCATTCTCCAGAGATTTTCACGTGCAGCGATACTGTGGTTATCTTCTAAGTTAATGATATCGTGGCTATCTCTTGAGTTAGCAAAATTGTGGTTATCTCTGTTGATAACAATACTGTGGGTATCTCTCAAGTTAATGGCCCAACCACTTAGGCTGGACGGAACAGCAACGATCTCGCTTCATGCAGGTCGGTGTTCAATCCCTGATCGTCCAAGTAGTTGGTCAACATTCCTTCCCCCCCCCCCGTCCCATCCCAAATCCTTATCCTGGCCCCTTCCCAGTGCTATATAGTCGTAGTGACTTGGCGCTTTCCCCTGATAATGCCCTCCCTTCCCTGCCAAATTAACGATACTGTTACTATCTCTAAAATTATCCTAATCTTGCTTTCTCTCATGTTAATCATTTTGTGGTTATCAGTGAAACAAAAAAGTATATATAGCATTATGTCGATTTTTCTGAGAATTGTACCGATGTGTTGGGAAGGATTTCAGTTGGTAAGGAGTTCAGACTCTGCAACAGTGTAATTATATTTGCAATTTTTGCACCTAATATAACTCCCCTCGAGTTCATCTGTGATGAATCATATCTTGAGTTATCTTGAGATGATTTCGGGGCATTTTAGTGTCCCCGCGGCCCGGTCCTCGATCAGGCATAGCAATACTATCGTCACCAAGTTTTTGTTTACACAGGTGGGTACATAAACAGACGACTGCTGACTCCGGTTAGCAGGTTGAGAACTTTCCCTTTTAATAGCTCATGATAAGCCTTACCTTTTCCTAGAATACGACCAGCCAATTGTTTGACAACCAGGTTCCTAATTACTGCTGGGTGAACAGAGGCATACAGTTAATGATTTTCGCCTAGTCAATCCTCCTCGAGTGTGCTACCACTGCACCACGGGGCCTGCCGTCTTAAGCTGACCTGCTTGGCACCTTAAGCTGACCTGCTTGGCACCTTAAGCTGACCTGCTTGGCACCTTAAGCTGACCTGCTTGGCACCTTACGCTCACCTGCTTGGTACCTTAAGCTCACCTGCTTGGTACCTTAAGCTGACCTGCTTGGCACCTTAAGCTGACTTGCTTGGTACCTTAAGCTGACCTGCTTGGCACCTTAAGCTGACCTGCTTGGCACCTTAAGCTGACCTGCTTGGCACCTTAAGCTCACCTGCTTGGTACCTTAAGCTGACCTGCTTGGTACCTTAAGCTGACCTGCTTGGCACCTTAAGCTGACTTGCTTGGTACCTTAAGCTGACCTGCTTGGCACCTTAAGCTGACCTGCTTGGTACCTTAAGCTGACTTGCTTGGCACCTTAAGCTGACCTGCTTGGTACCTTAAGCTGACCTGTTTGGCACCTTAAGCTCACCTGCTTGGTACCTTAAGCTGACCTGCTTGGCACCTTAAGCTGACCTGCTTGGCACCTTAAGCTGACTTGCTTGGCACCTTAAGCTGACCTGCTTGGCACCTTAAGCTGACTTGCTTGGCACCTTAAGCTGACCTGCTTGGCACCTTAAGCTCACCTGCTTGGTACATTAAGCTCACCTGCTTGGCACCTTAAGCTCACCTGCTTGGCACCTTAAGCTGACCTGCTTGGTACCTTAAGCTGACCTGCTTGGCACCTTAAGCTGACCTGCTTGGCACATCAAGAAGGCATCGCGATAAAGCGCCATCTTCAGTACCATCTTGTAGTGGTGTTGCTATTATTAAGACAGAAAGCGTTACGCCAGAAAGACTATATAATACTCGGAAGGATATGAGGACAAGGTTCTGGGATAGGACGGAGGGAAGGAATGGTGCCCAACCACTTGAACCGTCGAAGACTGCAAGAAACGAGGCCGTCGCTCTACCGACCAGTTCAAGAGGTTAGACAAGAGGGTCCTTGGAAAGTGAAGCAGAAGGACACCAAGTCTTACTCCTGTACGACTTGTCCATCTTACTTTCTGCATAACTTCAATTAATCTATTTGAATTTGTTTAGCATTTTGTCTGTTGTTGTTGTTAAAGATTCGCTACCTGGAACAAAGTTCTAAGTAGCACGGGCTATGGTGAGCCCGTAGTGCCTGCACGCATTTTGTCATTTGTCAAAGCTGCCGGAGAAAACATCGCCATCCCAAGTAATTCTCCAGTTCTGTTTTCTCTCTTCGGCCCGTAAGCGTCGCCTGTGGCAGATCCTCTGGCAGATCCTCTGGCAGATCATCACCTCTGGCTGCTTCATCCTGATGAATACATGATTTCCCTAACGTGCCTTTGTCACCCCGGTAATCTACGAGTAACCCACCTGAAATACACTGTGTATCTCCCGAGGTTGTGAGAACGCTGAGGGCGGCAATGGAAGACTTCCACTTCGGCTCTCCATACATTGTCTTAGTGGTGGAGGTGACGACTGGTCTTATGTTTTGGGTTCAGTGGTCGAGGTGTACGTGGCATAAATGTAATTGAAACAGTTAATGTGTAGTATTTGTGTAGCTGTGTTAATGTGTAGTATTAGTGTAGCTGTGTTAATGTGTAGTATTAGTGTAGCTAGTGTTAATGTGTAGTATTAGTGTAGCTGTGTTAATGTGTAGTATTAGTGTAGCTGTGTTAATGTGTAGTATTAGTGTAGCTAGTGTTAATGTGTAGTATTAGTGTAGCTTGTGTTAATGAATAGTATTAGTGAAGCTTGTGTTAATGTGTAGTATTCGTGCAGTCATGTTAATGCTAGCATTAGTGTAGCTTGTGTTAATGTGAAGTATGTATATGTATAAACAGACAAGATTAATTACAGAAAACACGAGATTCCATTACCCGTAAGTATCCATTAAGGACAATGAAACGAAAATTTCGAACGTTTTTCGTGTTTCAACACATCAAAGAATACAGACAGAGAAGATTTAACAATTGATGAAGATTAAGCCACCTAAAAGGTGGCACGGGCATGAATAACCCGTGTGTGTGTGTGTGGGTGAGGAAGGGTGCTGACGCTGTGCATAGGGCTACCAATTATTATTCTACCAACTATGTATTTAACGTTTAATTAATTGAAATAAAATTCTTCACAAAAGTCGTAAATACATATGGGGGCTTGACAGCATTCTCCGATGCATACAAGATAGTCAACCAGCAACCAAAAATGTCGAAAAATGTCGTATAGGCGATGTTCTAGGCAGTGTCCTGTTATACGACCCAAACACAACAATTTTTAGGGCAGTGTCCTGTTATACAACCCAAACACAACAATGTTTAGGGCAGTGTCCTGTTATACAACCCAAACACAACAATGTTTTGGGCAGTGTCCTGTTATACAACCCAAACACAACAATGTTTAGGGCAGTGTCCTGTTATACAACCCAAACACAACAATGTTTAGGGCAGTGTCCTGTTATACAACCCAAACACAACAATGTTTTGGGCAGTGTCCTGTTATACAACCCAAACACAACAATGTTTAGGGCAGTGTCCTGTTATACAACCCAAACACAACAATGTTTAGGGCAGTGTCCTGTTATACAACCCAAACACAACAATGTTTAGGGCAGTGTCCTATTATACAACCCAAACACAACAATGTTTACAATGTTTAGGACACTGTCTTCTGTCACACACACACACACACACACAACCTAAACATAGTGATGTTTAACGTCAAACACAACGTTGCGTCAAAGTAAAAAAAAAAAAAAAATCAACAAAGAACTTTGTAGTTAAGTTGTATGTTTGCTACGAGGTTGTCTGGGTCGAGGGTAGGGGCAGCCCTCAGTCTGCTGTGAGCAGTGCTGCGGAGAGGACGTGCCGGCGGTGTCTCCTGCCACGGGCAGCCTTTGGAACTGTAACGACTTTGCAGCCTTTGCAACTGTAACAACTTTAGAGACGCCAAAGACCGTTTTCGTAGAGATAAAAATCGAGAAACTATATTTATCAATTAAATTTGTTTTTCTTGTTGTTGTTGTCGAGGCATTGATAAATACTTTATTCTGTATTGGCAGTCATAGAAAGCTGATGGTATGTGGATAATTTATGAAGTATTCGGTGCCGCTCTGATGGGGGTTGTGTCCGTCAGGTACGTGAGGGGGGTTGTGTCCATCAGGTACGTGAGGGGGGTTGTGTCCATCAGGTACGTGAGGGGGGTTGTGTCCATCAGGTACGTGAGAGGGGTTGTGTCCATCAGGTACGTGAGGGGGGTTGTGTCCATCAGGTACGTGAGGGGGGTTGTGCCCATCAGGTACGTGAGGGGGTTGTGAACAGCAGGTACGTGAGGGGGTTGTGCCCATCAGGTACGTGAGGGGGTTGTGATCAGCAGGTACGTGAGTGGGGTTGTACCCATCAGATACGTGAGGGGGTTGTGAACAGCAGGTACGTGAGGGGGGTTGTACCCATCAGGTACGTGAGGGGGTTGTACCCATCAGGTACGTGAGGGGGTTGTACCCATCAGATACGTGAGGGAGTTGTACCCATCAGGTACGTGAGGGAGTTGTACCCATCAGATACGTGACGGGGTTGTACATATCAGGTACGTGAGGGAGTCGTGCCCATCAGGTACGTGAGGGGGTTGTACCCATCAGGTACGTGAGGGGGTTGTACCCATCAGGTACGTGAGGGGGGTTGTATCCATCAGGTACGTGAGGGGTTGTACCCATCAGATACGTGACGGGGTTGTACCTATCAGGTACGTGAGGGAGTCGTGCCCATCAGGTACGTGAGGGGTTGTACCCATCAGATACGTGACGGGGTTGTACCCATCAGATACGTGACGGGGTTGTACCTATCAGGTACGTGAGGGAGTCGTGCCCATCAGGTACGTGAGGGGGGGGGGGGGGGTTGTACCCATCAAGCAGACTTGTCAAAACAGAAGCTTCTCATATTTGTTGTTTCCCTAAGAACAAGTTGGCAATATTCTTTATGTTAAAGTTAGCGCCATAGCCACCGGCCGCGCCAGAACGTGATGTTGCAAACGTTATTGTGGAGAATGGACACCAAGTTTTATCATGTTAACCACACTTAGGAAGCTACACACACACACACATACACACACACACACACACACACACACAACACACACACATACACATACACGAACACATGCACGCTCACACACACACACACACACACACACACACACACACACACACACACACACACACACACACACACACACACACACACACACAGGGGCATCGTAGCCTGGTGGATAGCGCGCAGGATTCGTAATTCTGTGGCGCGGGTTCGATTCCCGCACGAGGCAGAAACAAATGGGCAAAGTTTCTTTCACCCTGAATGCCCCTGTTACCTAGCAGTAAATAGGTACCTGGGAGTTAGTCAGCTGTCACGGGCTGCTTCCTGGGGTGTGTGTGTGTGTGTGTGTGGTGTGGGGAAAAAAAAAGTAGTTAGTAAACAGTTGATTGACAGTTGAGAGGCGGGCCGAAAGAGCAAAGCTCAACCCCCGTAAAAACACAACTAGTAAACACACACACACACATACACGAACACATGCACGCTCATACACACACACACACACACACACACACACACACATACACACACGAAGACATACACGCACACAAACCCCATCCCCTACACCCACACTCCACCCCCATCTTTCCCGAAACATACACACACACACAGTGGGGCCTGTGACTTACTGAACAGCGCTCGGGACTCATAATCTTGGGGACCGGGGTTCGATCCCCTGCGAGGGCAGAAACAAAATGGACAGAGTTTCTTTCACCCTGATGTCCCTGTTACCTAGCAGTAAATAGGTACCTGTATTTAAAAATGACCTCGAATCTTGGAGGGTCGACGTTCGATCCCCACTGGTGCAAGTGGTTAGACACCGTTCCTTCACTAGTTCCTCATACTCCAGCTCCAATCCCGTCACCTGAACTTCACCAAGTACTTGAGTCATTTTGGCTTAGTGCTTCCTACTGATAATCACCTAATCTTACACAACACAGCGTTTAATAGGTTTTTCAGCCATAACTGCCCGTGGCAAGTAACTCCCCAAGACTATAATCTGTCTTTTGGAGAGAATCCTTGAGTTTGCCAGGCGGTTCTCGCCCCTAATAACTTGTACATATGCCAGCACTTTAAGAGTGCTATACCACTTTAAAGATGCGGACACACACAACCCTGCAGGATGCCCCGTCATGCAACATGCAATGGTCAGTCCTTCACTTTAACACCGTCCTCGGGGACACAGATCAATAGCCCGAGGACAAAACTCAGAAATATCAGCGAACACTAAGCGAGAATTTTGCGGTTCACCTCAACCCACATCAGAATATCTCTGGTAGATGAAGCTAGTGTTGCTGGGCAGAACAATTCTTGCCGAGCCACACTGAAGTACTTGAATTACCTACCACGCTTGAGGGTGTCCTGGCAACACTTATTAAGTTGCTGGCACTTATAAAAGTTGCAGCAACACTGGTAGTAGTAGTAGATGGGAGACATCTCCCGTCACGTAGGGTGCAGTCGCATCTCCACAGATCTCCAGTATCAGCTCTTGATACTGGTAATGGCTCAAAAGGGCCACCACTCACCGGCTATTCATACCCGTGTGCCACCTTTTGGGTGGCTTAATCTTCATCAATCAATCAATCTGGTAGTAGTAGAAGTAATAGTACGAGATGGTTACATATGGGAAATCACTCTCTCAACAATCTCGACCAATGCTTGTTACAATGCGATTGAAGACTCCAGGTGCACCATATCTAGCTAACAACAGTGAGAGAGTAGACACATGTCTGAGGTCGGATCCCGTCTGATCTAAACGAACCAGACCGATAAATCGGACGGGCTCAAACGAGCTCAATAGTCTAACAGTTATAAACGACCTCCCGGCGCTCTGAGCCCACTAATCTCCCGGCGCTCTGAGCCCACGCCAGCCACACCAACACGTTTTCTGATAGCGTATTTTATTAGTAGCTTTTAGAAGATCCTGGCAAAACAATAGAAACCCGTTGGTTGGTTTTTTTCCAGACGTTGTCAAGTCAAAACAGTCTCCGTGGTGTAGTGGTAAGACACTCGCCTGGCGTTCCGCGAGCGCTATGTCATGGGTTCGTATCCTGGCCGGGGAGGATTTACTGGGCGCAATTCCTTAACTGTAGCCTCTGTTTAACGCAACAGTAAAATGTGTACTTGGATGAAAAAACGATTCTTCGCGGCAGGGGATCGTATTCCAGGGACCTGCCCGAAACGCTACGCGTACTAGTGGCTGTACAAGACTGTAACATCTCTTGTATATATCTCAAAAAAAAAGAAAAAAAAATAATAATACCGTTAGCTGGTTTTCGCAAGCTAAGCCTGTTAATAGAAAACAATTTGGTTGACTGGTTGCACCAAAGCGTCCACAATAACGGCAAGGCGTTGGCTGGTTCCCAGTACTTGCCAAGTAACGGTAACCCGTCACTGGTTCTCCAAACATCTTGCTCCTACTAACAGGAAGCCGTTGGTTGATTTTTCCCAGCTCGCTGGCCGAGGTCTTCCAGACGTCGTGGAGAATCAGAAAATCGTTAGGAGACGAAATTGAGAGTGACAGCGTTGAATCCTGCTTCTCCTGTACCACATCTTAGACACATCATTCGTGCCATCAGCCAGCAGGCACAGGATCGTTGATCACGCATACACGTAACTCTCTGATCATGCTGAGCTCTCACGGATATGAGGGCTGTCTGTCGTGTCAATATTTCTTTGACAGTGATAATTCCAATATTATTCTATTGATTTTAATAAAGTACTTACGATTACAAAATAATCAGTCAATTGCGGGTAAAAAAATTTATTAGCTAATAATAATATTAATTATTATTAATCATAGTAACTATCTGTTAATTGATAGTTAATAATATAACTATTATTAAATGTTACAAATAATATATATATATATATATATATATATATATATATATATATATATATATATATATATATATATATATATATATATGTGTAAGTGCCTCAATATTTGAATGTTGGGTGATTAAATTTCATTTAACTCGCTCGATTTATTCATTAATCACATCACTAGCTCAGTAATCTGATGATAATGAAATATGCTGAAGGTGAAAATATCTCTCATTTGTGAGTTGAACACATCAAATCCGCTTTCAAGGTCGGTTAATACAATTATATAAAATACTCATGGTTCGATTAATAAAATATATCTACCTTCCAATTCGGATAAAAAAACAGATAAAGCCATATCCCTCTTTGACTAATGCATGAAACTATCTCACAGTTAACACAATAAACCCACATTCATGCTCGGTTTATATAATTAACCCATTTTCCTGAAATGGGTTTATTTAAATGGGTTTAAACTGAAAACTCACGTTCATTTTGGATGATAAACACCCCGAACGATTTTATTTTTATGTGCAAAGAATTGTCTTCATGACAAGAATTGTGCAAATTTGAATAAGCTTAGCGTAGACTCCTCGAGGATTGTCTCCTCCTACGTCTTAGGCGTAGACTCCAAGCGTTTACCGTCTACCTTTCTATTTGCGAAAGTAAACTTTCAAATATTCTTTCGGCAGCTTTGTTTAGTTAGCTTAAATCAATGACCTCAGTGTTCTTGAAGTTCCAGGTTTCAAGAATTATTCGTTATAAATTGTGTCGATTCCCATTACTATTTTGTACGTAGTGATCATATCTCCAACTTTCCTTTTGATGTGGGCCTCTTGGGACAAGTTCAGTGTGATATCAACCCCCAGATCTTTCTCTCTATTTGACTCTTGCAGGATATAACCTCCCAGATGGTACCTTGTGTTCAACCTTCTGCTCCCTTCGTCTGATTTCATTACTTTACACTTTCCTGAGTTGAATTTTAGCAGCCATTTTCTAGACTATTCCTCCAGCTTTTCCAGGTCATCCTGTAGTCTCTGTTTATCTTCATATCTTCATTTGTCTTGATTCTTCTCATAATTTTTGCATCATCAGCAAACATTGAGAGGAATGAGTCTGTATCCTCCGGAAGATCGTTTACATATATTAGAAACAGGATGGGTCCAAGTACTGAGCCCTGTGGGACTCCGCTGGTGACATCTCTCCACTCTGATGTCTCCCCCCCCCCCCTCACAGTTACTCGCTGCTTCCTGTTGCTTAAATACTCCCTTCTGGATCCACTGGAGCACCTTCCCTTATACTCCTGCCTGTTGCTCCAACTTTTTTTAACATCCTTTTTTGGAGCACTGTATCAAAGGCTTTCTGGCAATCCAAGAAAATGAAGTCTGGCCACCCTCTTAATTTCTTGCCCTGTGTGTTTGTGTGTGTGAGTGTAAACCACAGAAGGGATTCAGCTTACCACTCTTACCGTCTGTGAGGGGAGGGGGGGGGGGGAGGAAGGACTTTGGAATGGGACACTTTTCTCTGGTCATTCTCACCGCTCTGTGAAAAGCGGATTCCCTTAGAGTTTTCCTTATTCGGGTTTTTATCAACGTAATTGGGTACTGACAAAGAGTGAGAGAGAGAGAGAGAGAGAGAGAGAGAGAGAGAGAGAGAGAGAGAGAGAGAGAGAGAGAGAGAGAGAGAGAGAGAGAGAGAGAGAGAGAGGCAGGCATAAGCTAGCAGGAACCACCTAACAACCCATTAGTATTAATCTAACAGTTGCACATCAGCGTTGTTTAATGCTGATGTGCTGACTTCACTGGCGATTTATTTGGCACTCTGAATGTTGACAGTGAAACACGAGCTATGTATCAACTGACGTATATAAGTTAGGCATCACATCACCAACTCTGGACGAGAGATGAACGTGAAAGATTTAAAACTCGGGGTACATTGCCAAATTTAATACCCAGCCTCATTTGACATGTGGTGCTCACCTCTACTGAGATATCCTCGTTAGTATTGACCTCTACTGAGATATTCTCGTTAGTATTGACCTCTACTGAGATATTCTCGTTAGTATTGACCTCTACTGAGATATTCTCGTTAGTATTGACCTCTACTGAGATATTCTCGTTAGTATTGACCTCTACTGAGATATTCTCGTTAGTATTGACCTCTACTGAGATATTCTCGTTAGTATTGACCTCTACTGAGATATTCTCGTTAGTATTGACCTCTACTGAGATATTCTCGTTAGTATTGACCTCTACTGAGATATCCTCGTTAGTATTGACCTCTACTGAGATATCTCATTAGTGTTCACCTCTACTAAGATATTCTCATTTGGTTAATGCTTTTTTTCTTTTCAATTTGAAATTCACATTCAGATACGTGATATTGTGTTGGTTATGTAAGAAAATGTTAGTGACTGAAGGTCACGGAATATTGACTAGACTGGTTATCGCCTAACAAAAGAACATGAATCCGGAGAGACTCATCTGTGTGAAGAACCTCGTGTTTGAACAGTGGATAAAGCAATCTGCATAGAGTGACTCCTCTGCCGGTGTACGCGGCTGTCACCATGAAAAAACAAGTATAGTGACGATCGTTGATGAGGGGTGTGAGAGAGAGAGAGAGAGAGAGAGAGAGGAGAGAAAGAGAGAGAGAGAGAGAGAGAGAGAGAGAGAGAGAGAGAGAGAGAGAGAGAGAGAGAGAGAGAGAGAGAGAGAGAGAGAGAGAGAGGGACAATCTATCACATCTGGAAGACCAGCGATATTCACCCTTGACAAGAGAGCCAGTGTTATCAGAAGACGCTGATGATGAAGATGGTCTGGAGCAGTGTCCTCCTGCCCACCTTCCTCACCCTCACCTGCTGCCTTGCTGCCTTCTGTGGTAAGTTCCTCTTAGTCTAGTTCCCCTAATAAGTTAGGGGGGAACTCCCCTTAGTAAGTTCCCCTAATCTCTAGAGAGATTAGGGGAGCTGCCTCGTATGGGCCAATAGGCCTTCTGCAGTTACCTTTGTTCTTATGTTCTTATGTTCTTATGTTCTAGTCTTCTTCACAGCATGACTCTAACCCATTGCCATTTATTGTAGATTTCAGCTTAATGCGTTTCAGTGAGGGACGTATATGATGACGACGGAGGAGACGCAGACGTCAAAAGCCTCTGCTCTGTCCTCTACCTGGACGTGATGTTTACAAATCCCCAACACAAGCACCAGATAACAAATGACCATCGATCGCAAAAATGTTATCAACGCAACAAACGCCGTACCATTCTGAAGGAGAAACATTACCTAGAACACCTCTTCGGACATCTAAACAGCCAAATATTGTTCCACGAGGAAGCCGACGATCCCCCAGACACCAGGACCCGGATTCACGAAGCCATTACGTAAGCACTTACGAACGTATACATCTTTCCTCAATCTTTGACTCCTTTGGTTACATTTATTAAACAGTTTACAAGCATGAAAACTTCCCATTCAATTGTTGTTATTGTTATAAACAACCTCCTGGTGCTTCGGAGCTCATTAATTGTTTAATAATTGTAAACAAAGCCGGCAAAGCTTGAGAAAAGATGGACACGTTCGTAAGTGCTTGCGTAACTGCTTCGTGAATCTGACCCCAAACTACCGCCGATCTGGAGTAGTGGATTAGACCAAGGGAGTCGGTCGGCCAAGCGGACAGCACACTGGACTTGGGATCCTGTGGTCCATGGTTCGATCCCGTGCGCCGGCGAGAAACAATGGGCAGAGTTTCTTTCACCCTATGCCCCTGTTACCTAGCAGTAAAATAGGTACCTGGGTGTTAGTTAGCTGTCACGGGCTACTTCCTGGGGGTGGAGGTCTGGTCGAGGACCGGGCCGCGGGGACACTAAAGCCACGAAATCATCTCAAGATAACCTCAAGAAGATATCGTGCGCACAGGTCACGCGTCGCCTCTCACAGTATGGCCCTACCCATCCAACGCATCCAACTACGTTGACCAGACCACACACTAAAAGTTGAAGGGACGACGACGTTTCAGTCCGTCCTGGACCATTCTCAAGTCGATTGTCTGGAGAATGGTCCAGGACGGACTGAAACGTCGTCGTCCCTTCAACTTTTAGTGTATGGTCTGGTCAACATACTTCAGCCACGTTATTGTGACTCATCGCCTGCACATCCAACTACAGCGACGCCTCCTCCGAGACCGCCGACCTCAAGACGGCACAGTACAGAACCAGCTGCAGCGACAAGCCGACACTGACAAGACCAGGCTAATCCTCCTCGCCCCAAGCCCGCCAGCCCTGAAGCCATCCTTTGTACAAGATGTACAGTGCAGCCTTTCATCCACGCACGCACACTCGCACACACGCGCGCGCACACCACACACACATACACATACACACACACTAGGAAGCACCAGGAAGTGATGTGGTGGAGGCTGACTCCATACAAAGTTTCAAGTGTAGATATGATAGAGCCCAAAGGGCTCAGGAATCTGTCCATCACTTGATTGACAGTTGAGAGGCGGGACCAAAGAGCCAGAGTACAGCCCCCGCACCCACAACTAGGTGAGTACAACTAGGTGAGTACACACAAGTAATAAAGTACACAAGGTGAGTACACACACAGGTCCTCGCGGACGACTGGACAACGCTTGATAGTAGTAGTCCAAAGGGGCCAAGTTTGATGCCCAGCCAAGGCAGAAACAAATCGGCAATTTTCTCCACCTGATGCCTCTGTTCACCTATCAGTAACTAGGTATCTGGGAGTTAAACATGCTACGGGCTGCTTCCTGGGAATGTGTGTGTGTGTGTGTGTCAGAGAATTATATTTAGATTATATGAAAGAGGAAAACAGGTCGAGAGTCAGTACTTAAGACAACTGATGGTAGAAAGGCGGGGTCCAGGAGCTAAGAATTCACTCCTGCAAGCACAAATAGTAAACATACTATAACAGAATAAAGAAGGAAAACTTTAGCGATAAAAAGGTCCAACAAACTCAGGAACGCCATTGAAGACGAGTAAAAGCACACACACACACACACACACACACACACACACACACACACACACACACACACACACACACACACACACACACACACACACACAAACACACACACACACACACACACACACACACACACACACACACACACAAGCAGCGGCCCTCAAGACGCTCAGTCAAACACACTGTGACAGGAGACATGCCATTTGCTCCACCTCCCCCTTATCCTTCCCCTCATCCTTGCCCTTATCCTCCCCCCTTATCCTCCCCCCCTTATCCTCCCCCCTTATCTCACCTGGTGCCCCTCTCAGTTGGTGTCCCTACATACCTGGTGTCCCTCTCACCTGGTGTCCCTCTCACCTGGTGCCCCTCTCACCTGGTGCCCCTCTCACCTGGTGCCCCTCTCACCTGGTGCCCCTCTCTCTCACCTGGTGTCCCTCTCACCTGGTGCCTCTCTCACCTGGTGCCTCTCTCACCTGGTGCCCCTCTCACCTGGTGCCTCTCTCACCTGGTGCCTCTCTCACCTGGTGCCTCTCTCACCTGGTGCCCCTCTCAGTTGGTGTCCCTCTCACCTGGTGCCTCTCTCACCTGGTGCCTCTCTCACCTGGTGCCCCTCTCAGTTGGTGTCCCTCTCACCTGGTGCCTCTCTCTGGTGCCCTCTCAGTTGGTGCCTCTCTCACCTGGTGCCTCTCTCACCTGGTGCCTCTCTCACCTGGTGCCCCTCTCACCTGGTGCCCCTCTCACCTGGTGCCCTCTCACCTGGTGCCTCTCTCACCTGGTGCCCTCTCACCTGGTGCCTCTCTCACCTGGTGCCCCTCTCACCTGGTGCCCCTCTCACCTGGTGCCCCTCTCACCTGGTGTCCCTCTCACCTGGTGCCCCTCTCACCTGGTGCCTCTCTCACCTGGTGCCTCTCTCACCTGGTGCCCCTCTCAGTTGGTGTCCCTCTCACCTGGTGCCCCTCTCACCTGGTGCCTCTCTCACCTGGTGCCTCTCTCACCTGGTGCCTCTCTCACCTGGTGCCCCTCTCAGTTGGTGTCCCTCTCACCTGGTGCCCCTCTCAGTTGGTGTCCCTCTCACCTGGTGCCCCTCTCAGTTGGTGTCCCTCTCACCTGGTGCCTCTCTCACCTGGTGCCCCTCTCAGTTGGTGTCCCTCTCACCTGGTGCCTCTCTCACCTGGTGCCTCTCTCACCTGGTGCCCCTCTCACCTGGTGCCCCTCTCACCTGGTGCCCCTCTCACCTGGTGCCTCTCTCACCTGGTGCCCCTCTCAGTTGGTGTCCCTCTCACCTGGTGCCTCTCTCACCTGGTGCCTCTCTCACCTGGTGCCCCTCTCACCTGGTGTCCCTCTCACCTGGTGCCTCTCTCACCTGGTGCCCCTCTCACCTGGTGCCCCTCTCACCTGGTGCCCCTCTCACCTGGTGCCTCTCTCACCTGGTGCCTCTCTCAGTTGGTGTCCCTCTCACCTGGTGCCTCTCTCACCTGGTGCCTCTCTCACCTGGTGCCCCTCTCAGTTGGTGTCCCTCTCACCTGGTGCCCCTCTCACCTGGTGCCTCTCTCACCTGGTGCCCCTCTCAGTTGGTGTCCCTCTCACCTGGTGCCCCTCTCACCTGGTGCCCCTCTCACCTGGTGCCTCTCTCACCTGGTGCCTCTCTCACCTGGTGCCCCTCTCAGTTGGTGTCCCTCTCACCTGGTGCCTCTCTCACCTGGTGCCCCTCTCACCTGGTGTCCCTCTCACCTGGTGCCTCTCTCTGTTGCTTCTACACCTGGTGCCTCTCTCTGTTGCTGCTACACCTGGTGCCTCTCTCAGTTGGTGTCCCTCTCACCTGGTGCCTCTCTCACCTGGTGCCCCTCTCAGTTGGTGTCCCTCTCACCTGGTGCCTCTCTCACCTGGTGCCTCTCTCAGTTGGTGTCCCTCTCACCTGGTGCCTCTCTCACCTGGTGCCTCTCTCAGTTGGTGTCCCTCTCACCTGGTACCCCTCTCACCTGGTGCCTCTCTCACCTGGTGCCTCTCTCACCTGGTGCCTCTCTCACCTGGTGCCTCTCTCAGTTGGTGTCCCTCTCACCTGGTGCCCCTCTCAGTTGGTGCTCTCACCTGGTGCCCCTCTCACCTGGTGCCTCTCTCACCTGGTGCCCCTCTCAGTTGGTGTCCCTCTCACCTGGTGCCTCTCTCCCCACCTGGTGCCTCTCTCTGGTGCCTCTCTCACCTGGTGCCTCTCTCACCTGGTGCCCCTCTCACCTGGTGCCTCTCTCACCTGTTGGTGTCCCTCTCACCTGGTGCCCCTCTCAGTTGGTGCCTCTCTCACCTGGTGCCCCTCTCAGTTGGTGTCCCTCTCACCTGGTGCCTCTCTCACCTGGTGCCCCTCTCACCTGGTGCCTCTCTCTGGTGTCCCTCTCACCTGGTGCCTCTCTTGGTGTCCCTCTCACCTGGTGCCCCTCTCAGTTGGTGTCCCTCTCACCTGGTGCCTCTCTCTCACCTGGTGCCTCTCTCTCTCTCACCTGGTGCTCTCTCTCTCAGTTGGTGGTGCCCCTCTCACCTGGTGCCTCTCTCACTCTGGTGCTGCTCTCACCTGGTGCCCCTCTCAGTTGGTGTCCCTCTCACCTGGTGCCTCTCTCACCTGGTGCCCCTCTCACCTGGTGCCTCTCTCAGTTGGTGTCCCTCTCACCTGGTGCCTCTCTCACCTGGTGCCTCTCTCTCCTGGTGCCCCTCTCACCTGGTGCCCCTCTCACCTGGTGCCTCTCTCACCTGGTGCCCCTCTCAGTTGGTGTCCCTCTCACCTGGTGCCTCTCTCACCTGGTGCCCCTCTCACCTGGTGCCCCTCTCAGTTGGTGTCCCTCTCACCTGGTGCCTCTCACCTGGTGCTCAGTTGGTGTGCCCCTCTCACCTGGTCTCTCACCTG